TGGTGCTCTAGGCTAGTTTTGAACAGCAGATGGCGCTCTAGGCTATTTTTTTGGCACTGTAGGCTACTTTTTTGCCACTCTAGGCTACTTTTTTGCCACTCTAGGTTACTTTTGAACAGCAGATGGCGCTCTAGGCTAGTTTTTGTCACTCTAGGCTACTTTTGAACAGCAGATGGCGCTCTAGGCTAGTTTTTGTCACTCTAGGCTAATTTTAAACAGCAGATGTTGCTCTAGGCCAGTTTTTGACATTGTAGGCTAGTTTTAAGCTGCATGTGGCACTCTAGGCTAGTCTAGAGCTAGTTTTGAACAGCAGATGGCGCTCTAGGCTAGTTTTTGTCACTCTAGGCCTAATTTTAAACAGCAGATGTTGCTCTAGGCCAGTTTTTACATTGTAGGCTAGTCTTAAGCTGCAGATGGCACTCTAGGCTAGTCTAGAGCTAGTTTTGAATAGCAGATGGCGTAATAGGTGAGTTTTTAACCACTCAAATCCTCATGAACAAAAACGTTTGTGCTTTTGGCTGAATCATGTACTGTAAGTGTAAATGAATGTAAATGCTGCTGGTTTAGTCTGAGTGTGTGTTGTATTCTGCAGGTAACTCTTCCAGCATAATCTGAGTGTGTGTGTGTGTGTGTGTGTGTGTGTGTGTGTGTGTGTGTGTGTGTGTGTGTGTGTGTGTGTGTGTGTGTGTGTGTGTGTTGTCTTCTGCAGGTATAATGGCTCTCTGCCGGGCGGAGACCGTGGCCGCAAGAGGAGCCGCTTTGCTCTTTACAGGAGGGCGAAAGCTAACGGAGTCAAGCCGAGCGCGGTGCACATCCTCAGCAGCCCACACGACAGCAAGGTGAGTGTGTTTTCAGATAAGCACACACTGCGGAAGCGCTAGCACTAGCATTGAGGGATGCTCATATGCAGTTGACCTTTGGTTGCAGGCGGTGAACAGCAGGGGGCAGCACAGCATCTCCTTCACCCTCTCCAGGAACCAGACGGTGGTGGTGGAGTATTGCCATGACAATGACACCGACATGTTCCAGGTCAGGCTGCACTGCAACCAAACCACTAATGCTAATGTCAAATACTATTAACGGAAATAAAAAAAGAGATGGAAAAAAAGTTGCCAAAAGTAGGCAGCGCTTATTTCAGTGGTTCCCAACCTTTTTCTTTGGGGCCCCCCCCATGAACATATACAAACATTGGAGCCCCCCCACCATATAAATACACACGCACACACACACACATATGTACTGTGTGTATATATATATATATATATATATATATATATATATATATATATACACACACTGTGTGTGTGTGTGTGTGTGTGTGTGTGTGTATGTGTG